CGTGTGTGTGTGTGTGCGCGCGCGCCCGAGACCATCGCTCCTCTAACTGGAGGGAGGGACTCAGGGTTTCCTCCGCGCAGCTCCTCTGATGCTCCTCTGTGGCCGAAGCTGCGTCCGACGGGGACCTAGGCGCCCTGCGGATGTGCTCTGGGGACAGAAGCTGGGCCGCCCCAGTCGAGTTTCCTTTGTTCCTAACTTCTCGCTCACACGGGCCGCGTTCCCACTATAGGGAGCAGGCATTCGTCAAAGACTCAGCGTGGGTAATAAAGCCCCTCGGAGGCGACCCCACCTCCTTCTCCATCCCCAGGTGTCACCCCAGATCCCCGAGGGACCTGGAGTCACACCTGAAGCTTCACCTGGGGTTGTTACAGCCCCCAAACCAGGCATCAAACGTGAGTCTGGAAACTCGGGGTCTGTCACGTATTTGAGGAAGGGACAACCCGGCCCACCCTGCGTGCGGGTAGCCTGGTGTGTCGTGGGGGCTCCTCCGGCCACGGTCCCCTTCAGACGCATGGCAGGGTGGCAGTGCAGGGTCACCTGCCCCAGGACCAGCCAGGGGTGTCACACTTTCAGATGCTCGGCTCCTGCTTTGCTTTACAGCCTTGGGAGATGGCGCCGTGGGCAGAGCCTTCCGTCTCAGCTCCCAACACCGAGGGAGCGCTGGCCGGGAGAGCAGTCGTGCCAGGGTGGATGTTAACACGACTGACTTGAGTATATGATTTAGCAGTTTGGAGAGAGTTAAAAATACGTTTTTGGTTTTTTTTTTTAAAGAACCCATAATCTTACTTCCGCATCTATGTTAAACATGTGAGGTAGTTTTTCCCCCAGACTCTTACTGATGTATATAGAGACATTTACGTTTTTCTCTTACAAGTTTGGGATCATTACCTGGTTTTTAAATTCTACTATTTATCAACGAACGGGTCAAGAAGATGTGGTTTATCTATACAATGGAATCCTACCTGGCAATGAGAAAGAATGAAATCTGGCCTGTGTAGCAACATGGATGGACCTTGAGGGTGTTATGCTGAGCGAAATAAGTCAGACAGAGAAGGACAGATACCATATGTTTGCACATATAGGAGGATGAGGAGGAACTTAACGGAGGACCGTGGGGGAGGAGAAGGGGGGGAATGGTGGGGGAGAGGGAGAGAGGCAAACCATGAGAGACTTCTCATGAATGCCGAGAACAAACTGAGGACTGATGGGGGTGGGGGGGAGGGGGGATGGGCATGGAGGAGGGCACTTGTGGGGATGAGCACTGGGTGTTGTATGGAAACCAACTTGACAATAAACTATTTAAGCAAAAGAAATAAATTCTACTATTTAAAGTTCACAATATGAGGAATATCACATGCTGTTACGTGAAGTTTTATTATATGGACACACAGTACTGTTGGCCATTGTCCCTGAGGGTGGACTTCTAAGCAATTTCACATTTGCTGACAAATGACAGCATGACACACACCTGTATGCCCAAATCCACGTGGCATTTCTAATAATTTTCATAGGCTGTATTTCATAGGAGATGCCCCTTAATTTTTTTTAACTTTTATTTATATTTGAGAGACAGAGAGAGTGTGTGCAGGGGAGGGACAGAGAGAGAGGGAGACACAGGATCTGAAACAGGCTCCAGGCTCTGAGCTGTCAGCAAAGAGCCCAACGCGGGACTCGAACCCACAAACTGTGAGTTGAAGTTGGATGCCCAACCGACAGGGCCCCCAGGCGCCCTGAGACGGCCCCTAACTGTAACCTAATAGTCTGATGTGACACCTTAGACACAGGGTGTCCCATCCTCCAAGGAGCCCGTCTGCTCTGACCCAACACGGTTCCTGCGGAGGGTTCCCTTGGGTGCAGAAGCTGTCCCCCCGTCTTCTCACCCTGCAGCCACATGGATGCTTTGCCGTCAGGGCAAACCGTACTGGACCCGAGGCGCTTCGCCCAGGTACCCGTTTGCTCCTTCTCCGACGGGGCTGAGTGCTAAGCGCCAAAGCAAACGCAGCCACACAAAACTAAGCCCTCGCTGAAGAGGCTCTGCTCTAGGACTTGGGAACTTGGAAACGCAGACTGGCGGCTAGACAGAAGCTAGGCGGAGAACCGGGGGTGAGAGCCCCCAGGAGCAGAGGGCGCCCCTTGTGAGCACAGAGCCCAGTGGCGAGTGCCGCGTGTGCACAACTCCGCAGCCACCCTCCGAGGCCCTGGGCCTTCAAAGCTCTGTCCTTTTCAGCAGTTATGACCGGGCGCATTTTGTGAACAGGCACGATTCCACGCTTGCTCTCATCTGCTGCTGGGGGGGGGGGGGCACGAGGGTCAGTGAGTTCAACGCCCTTTGTTTGCTCCACGTTTCTGAGATTTTGTGAAGATGATTTTCTGCAGAGCATGAAGACACGCAGAGAAGGGTGTGGATGAACGGAGGCGATGCGGACAGCGCAGGTCAATGGGAGAGGCATCTTTTCTCTCCTGGAATACGATCCCAGTGACGTGGTTTCTTCCAGAAGCTACTTCCAGGGACTTAAAATAGTTGCCGGGGCCACACGGAGCTGTGATCCTCAGATAAAAATCTACACCGTGGAAGGTTAGATAAGTATCTGCTTCTCTCTACTGTGCAACAGCAAACTCACCTCTACGTGAAAACACAGCATCTCTTTGAAAATGTTCAAAGGCATTCCTTCCATTTCCGAGGCTGTTTATGGAAAGATCTCTATTAATGTGTTCTTATGGGAGTGGCATTTTACCGGGGGCTTCATGTAAAAGTTTTCAAATATATACGAGAAATTTTAAAAGACAGAACGTCTGAGAGTATGTTAAGTTACTGCGTGGGGCTGACCTCTCCCAGAGCGCCGCATGGGGACCGGCCAGGGTTTACCCGGTGGGATCTGGAGGTTTAGGGATGAAAGTATTCAGGGCTTTTACTACTTTTAGTACCACCCGGGTCACGTATTCTTCACTGTAACACATGTGCCCCTGCTTGCACACGCAGGGGGTGCACTTTTCTAGCACAGATTCTCAGGATGTTCTTTCACATCAGGCGACTACAGCAAGTTGATGCTAGTTAGTGAAGTATGCAGCTCCAAGCGATTCCAGTCTTTCTAATTAATTGAGTTACCACCTGAGTAAAAGTAATGTTGCAAAACTATGCTGATGTGGGTGGTGTTCCCTTCGGCAAAGTAGCGTAGCGAGCGCGCAGGGACCAGGCTGTGCCTGAGAAGGAACAGACGCTCAACTCACAATGCAAACAGCATAACGCATTGTTTAATGAAGCCACTCAAGGGCTGGTAGACGCCGTTGCGTGTGTTGTGGTGACTTTGCGTGGAGTCACCACAGGGGTGAACTCAGGCCGGTGTGGGTGCTTCTCACCTTTGAACTGAGAGACGCAGCCAGACCAGACCCAACTCTGGAGCGACAGGCTCTTCCTGACAAAGCGTCCCGCTGTCCCTCCCCAGAATACTGAGCACACACTTCCTGTGGTTGATCTCAAAACCACGTTATTCAAAAAACATGTCACGTTTTTTGACCTACTAACCACGTGCCTGCCAGCATCGGCTGTCGTTGCCGTGGACGCATCACCGGCAAGAAAGGCCCAGGGGCGTGTTTAGCTTTATTTGGTGCATTCATGGGCTCCTGGCAGTGAGGGACACGGCGCGGCACAGACACATCGGGAGAGAGATTTTGAAAGCATTTTCATCCACGTGGTTCCAGACAAGAATTCTGCGGCTGGGCTGCTTCCGGGGACATTTGGTAAATAAAGTGGTGACGGGCATGGAGTCTGTTTCCTGCACGGAGTGTGGCAGCATTTACACACACGTCACACGGAGTCACAGCGCCAGCTTTGCCACGTAAGAGCAGCGGTCAGTCTCTCGATTTCATAGGGGGCCGGGGAGGGTCCCGGAGGGTCCCCTGAACCAAGGGGACATAAGACCGGGACTCTGGTTGGAGCTGCCGCTGCCTCCTGTCGGGCCAGGCTGTCCCTGGCGGTGGCCTGTGCTGGGCATGGAGGGACGTCCATTGGCCTCTACCCACCACACGCTAGGAGCACTCGCCAGTCAGCATGGCCAAAACGTCCCCCGGCAGACGTCCCCTAAGGCCCCCGGCAGTGCAGATGTCCCTTGACTGAGAATTCTGTGTCTCCACCCTTCCAGCGCCGGGGACCAGGCCCCGGACAGGTGTGACAGAGCCGGACGGCATCGTGAGGGCCCTGCTGTGGCGCCTTCGCCTGCCCCTTCCCCTGCGGCTGTCCGGGACCCTGGCCCACAGCAGTGGTGGCCGTGGAGCTGGCGTGCGCGGGCAGGGCCCACACCCGCGTCTGCTCGGCCAGGGAGGCTCAGGCTGCCCGGACTGCGGGCCCCGGGGAGGCAGGGCGACCAGAGACCGTCATGAAACTCTACGGAATAGACCACGGAGCCACGTCTTCAACAACATCTCCGGCCCCAGAAAACTAGGTATTCCAGGAGTGCACGCGTGTGCCAGGCGTGGGATGGCCGGGCCAGCGGGAGGAGGAAGGCGCCACCCTGCCACGGGCGGACGGAGAGGCGGCACAGTCGAGGCCCGCACGCCCAGAGGCTGGGGTGGGAAGTGGCGGCCAGGAAGAGGGGGTGTGGGGGGGTGTGGAAGGCTGTGGGGGACAGCTAGGGAGAGGGGTGGGTGTGGGGCATGTAGAGGGAGGCAGGGGAGTAGGTGTAGGGGTGAGGGGTGGGGTTTGGGGAGCAGGGGCCTGGGAGCAGGCTTTGCCCACCACTCAGCTCTGAGAGGAGCCCCTCAGTGATGGAGGAGGGGCAATCCCTCCTGAGCAATTGTCAAATTTCTTGATGACAATAAAGAGAAAAATTATGAAATAGCGCTCTTATTCCTTCTATCTTACTTGAAACTTTCACTTTTTCCTATTTCATCCCCACACCAAGCAGAGCCCCGTCGCCTTGTTTCGGGGTCTTGCTTGATTTCTGTGGCTCTTGCCGCCCCATTTCAGCTTAACAGCTACAGAGCAGCTGCATGCGGTGGCCTGGCTACCCCTGTGTGGGTCTCCCGGGGCGGGGTCTCTGGGCCAAGGTCTCCCGGGGCAGGGTCTCCGGGGCAGAGTCTCCGGGCGGGGTCCCCCGAGGCGGGGTCCCCGGGGCGGGGTCTCCGGGGGCTGGGTCTCCGGGGCGGGGTCTCCCAGGGCGGGGTCTCCNTCTCCCGGGGCGGGGTCTCTGGGCCAAGGTCTCCCGGGGCAGGGTCTCCGGGGCAGAGTCTCCGGGCGGGGTCCCCCGAGGCGGGGTCCCCGGGGCGGGGTCTCCGGGGGGGCAGGGTCTCCGGGGCAGAGTCTCAGGGCGGGGTCCCCCGGGGCGGGGTCCCCGGGGCGGGGTCTCCGGGGGCAGGGTCTCCGGGGCGGGGTCTCCGGGGGTAGGGTCTCCCGGGGCGGGGTGTCCGGGGCGGGGTGTCCAGGGGTAGGGTCTCCGGGGCGGGGTCTCCGGGGGTAGGGTCTCCAGGGCGGGGTCTCCCGGGGCAGGGTCCCCCCGGGGCGGGGTCTCCCGGGGTGGCTGGTGCAGGGGACCCGCTGGAGACGGGCCGGGGCAGGCAGGCTGGGCCGCCTGCAGTGGTGCAGCTCACCGCGCCCGCCTGAAGCAATGATTGTTGGAAACGTACCTTTCCATTTAGCGATTCGTGCTGGGTCTCGTTCGCTTGCTGTTTAATGTCACTTGGAATTATCCCGGGACTAAAACAGGCCTACAGAGAACAGGCTTTAAAAGCCCATTTTAAAGGTAAAGATGGGCCTTTAACCTTCTCCAGGATTTCACGTCCCGCACAAGGAACGGCGGCTGAAGTGTGGAAGGGGCGCTCTGATACCTGCTCTGGAAAGGGGGAGGCGGCCTGGCTATGCCGAGCAGAGGACTCACCTTTTTCGAATTACAGTTTTCAGGTCTGATGCAGCCAGATAATCATCAGAGGCTCAAATAAAATCATTATTTTGTCAGAGGGAGAAAGCGTGTTCCAGGGGGGAATTACTGACAGCAGAGAGAGAACAAAGGTGCGTCCCAACAGGGAGACTTTTCTCAGAGTAAAGCCCTGAGTCCCGGCCCGGGGTTTTCCCTCAGGCGTTGCTCTAGCCTCTTGCAGAGGCTGCAGGGAAGGAGACGCCTGGTGAGCACAGGCCTGTGCCGGGAAGGCTGCTAGTGTGCAGTGCGGGGGGGACTCTGAACCCCCTGCCCCGTCTCAGGAGTGTGCACGCGCAGCCAGGAGCACAGGGCTCTGGGAGGACCCAGGCAGAGCCCCATCCGGTCCCCCTGGTGCCCCTTGGACCTTCGTAATGTCTGGCGCCGATTTCCAGGCAGCCAGTGCAGTACAGTGAGCATACACAGAGGGGCGCCCACCTCGGGGCGCCTGGGGGCTCAGTCGGGTGTCTGACTTGGGCTCAGGTCATGATCTCTCGGTTCATGGGTTCAGGCCCGGCGTCGGGCTCTGTGCTGACAGCTCAGTGCCTGGAGCTCCTTCGGACTCTGTGTCTCCCTCTCTCCCTGCCCCTCCCCTGCTTATACTGTGTGTGTCTCTCTCTCTCAAAAATAAATAAACATCAAAAAATTTAAAAAAAAATACAGGTGCACCCACCTCGTCGCTGCGCGCTGCTCCTTCGGGGGTCAGTGCCCAGGCTCAGGACACGCACTTGGGCTGCGCGGGGTGCTGCTCTGGGCCCTGTGTGCCCCGCTGGGAGCTCAGGCGTGACCGGGACCACAGTGGTGTGTGGTGTGTGCTGCTCCGCTGAGTCACCGGTTCCGACGCAAGACGGATGCACTGCCAGCTCTTAAACAGGCTTCGGTGGCGATGTTCGCTTTCCGGGGAAGCCAAATGTGGCGGTGCTGTCACGACCGTGACTAGCGCTGTGGCGGCTGCCACGGGAGTCACAGTACCCCGACCTGCACGTCTCACTCAGCGGTGACTATGCTCCAGTGCACTTCTCGACAGCCCGCCGCTCTGAGTGGATCCGGTTAAAGCACCAGGGCCCCGAGGAGCTCGGCCTCGCAGGGAAGGCTGTGCAGGGTGACTCTGCTGTGGGAGCGCCAGACGGGCCACGTGGAAGAAGGTGCCGCCTCCCGGCTGCCGGGCATGTTCACGGATCTCGGGCCACGAGGCCACGTGCAGGCAGTTGCTTTAGGACCACGGATTTCTGACTCGTGAGGAGGTGGAAAGCTGTGCGCCGTGCAGGAACGTGGTCACGCTGCAGGGAGCAGTCCCTCCCAGGGGCGCCCGGCCCGGCCCAGAGAAGAGGGGGATCTACACGGGAGGGGTGCACGCAGGGGGGTGCACGCGGGAAGCCTGAACACAAACCACACTGCCCATCTGTCTCTGCCCTCTGGAGGGCGAGGGAAATACCACCTTCTTGTCGCCTTAGGAGGGACTGAAACACAGAATGAGAATATTGAGGGACGCTTTAAAAAAAAATCTGAATTCTCTAAAGAGAAAAGAAAAACCTCTGTGTCTTCAACGGTGTTTTCTCATTTCCAGAGAAGACCAAGGACCGGAAACCAGGTTTGCATTTTCCATACAGGTTCCCGGAAAGGTAAAAAGTGCATCTACTGGGGCACCTGGGTGGCTTAGTCGGTTGAGCGTCCGACTTTCGCTTAGGTCATGATCTCGCAGTTCGTGGGTTCGAGCCCCGCGTCAGGCTCTGTGCTGACTGCCAGCTCAGAGCCTGGAGCCTGTTTCAATCTGTGACTCCCTCTCTCTCTGACCCTCCCCAGCTTGCGCTGTCTCTCTCTCTCTCCTAGAAATAAATAAAACATTTAAAAAAAAAGTGCATCTACATCTCTAGGTTTCTAGAACAATCTAGCTGCAGGTCCGTCAGAGCGGATGGACAACACCAGAGCTTTCTCTTGACTGCAGGTCCCTTATTTCCCACGTTAGGCGACACAGGCTGAATCGATAACGTATTTCCTGGACACCAAGCCCCCCTCACTGCCGTAGGCGGGGCAGGGACGCGAAGCACAAGAGCTATCCCGTCCAGGCGGCGCGGCCGGGCACGGGGCTGAAGGCCGCCTGTCGGAATTACAGACGCTGCGGCATCTGCTCTACGCGGTTATGGAAGCCTCATGTGGGGACAGCGCTCCGTCTGTGGGAGGAAAATCAGAGTTTTTAGAGGAGGGGGAGCGGCCGGCCCCCCCAGCTGCGAGGCCCGCTCTCCCGCCTCCCGGCTCCGGTGACGCAGATGCGGGCAAGGAGCAAACCTGCAGGGGCCCCGTGGAAGGTCCCCACTGGCGGCCAAGAGCCCAGGCGGCAGAAGCCTCTCCTCTGGAGCGAGGAGCCCAAGCAGGCGGCGCTCCTGACACCAGGGGCCCCACGTGGAAAGGACAGACCAAGTCAACAATTCGGGTAAAACGCACCACTCAGCCTGACCCAGGAGCCGGTAGGAGCACGGAACCGTATTGGCGACAACACAGGGACGCGGCCCTTGCGAGGGTCGGTGGGCGCCAGGCGCGCACGACACGAGGGCGGAGTCGGTCTAGGCGCCGCGGGGCCCACGGACCCAGGGCCCGGGGTGGGCGCCCCGCCCGCTGGTTCCGGACCGGGCGAGGAGCGGCCGTTCTGCCCAGGCAGGAGGGGACCCCCGACGGGGAGGGCGAGCGGCGGGCCCGGGGCCTGACGTAGACGCAGCTCTGATGCCGAATTTGGAGGCTGCCCAGGCCGATTCTGGGGCAGGGACGAGCCAGGTCGTGATCCCACGCTCTGCGACGGAGGCTGGAAGGCAGGGGTGTGGGCAGCACAGGGGTCTGGGAGGCAGTGGCCTGGAGGGGTTAGGGTTAGGGTTAGGAGCTCAGTGTGCTCCGGGCTGGAGACGCCTCCAGGAGCCCCCCCCCCCACACACCGGAAAAGGGCAGAGAAGGAACCACACCCACAGGAGTAAACCCGGGGGACTCCCCGGAGACAGAGTCATACCCCAGCGGCGGGGAGAGCACAGTGGGCCTCGGAGCTGGCGGTGAAACCCTTTCTGTTTCTTCATTTTCCAGCCTTGTGACCAGGAGTCCTGACAGAAGAAAGGCCGAGAGCCTCGCCCGCTACCCTGAGGCCGGGCAGGGCCTGCTCCCTGGGGCTCAGTAGGAGGCGGGGCCCCGACCTTGTGACCCCAGGGTCTGCAGGGGCCAGGCACCTGCGACACTCAGGGAGGCTGCGGATCCACAGGCTGCCTCTGCTTTCTCTGTTTTGTTCTAAACCCGGGAGTGAGCGTGGGTGCCCAGGGGGGTCACCGCGGGGCGCAAGGTGAGCGGGTGGCCAGCTGGACAGGCGGCCCACGTGCCATGTGGGGACCGGGCCTGACACTGCCTGGGTATCTCACGAGGCCACTAGCTCCTTCCCGGCCTTCCTCTGCATCGTGGCACCTCCTCTTCACCACACAGGCTCCATCTGTCTGCACAGGCAACGTGCTGAATCTCACCTTAAAGCCCGGAAGTGCCCGGCATTACCTGCGTCTTACACGTGGAGGCAGGGTCGGTCCCAGGAGGTTGCGACAGACAGGACCAGTAACGTGAGCTGGTACCTGCATGGCCCCTCGACACCTCTGGCAGCAGCACCTGAGTCACTGCCCGGGCTGGGGGTGATCTCCACACCACTTCTGGGGAGCGTCTAGAGCATCCCCACACCACTTCCAAGGTGGAGCTGGGCAATCTTGCCTCCACTTCCGGGGCCGGGGCACAGGAAGTAAGAGCCTGGGGGTCAGGGCTGGCCTGTGAGGCTGCTGCCCGGCCCCCTGCCCCTCCCCTCACAGCCTTTGCCAGAGCGCTCGGGGCCCAGTGAACACACCCCTGTCTCCCTCTCTGCAGCGGCGCCGGGAGAGAGCAGACGGAGGATGGAGCCAGCACTGGGGTGAGGAGACGAAGGCACCGCTTTGGGGACAAGGCACCCAGACTCGGCGGCTCGGGAGAACAGAACTTGGGTTTGGCTCTGGACACCGGAAGTTGGTATCCGGGTGTGGGCAGGGCCGGTTCCTTGTGAGGCTGCGGGGCCATCTGTTGCGCGTCTCTGTCCAGCCGCTGGGGCTGCTGGCCACCTTGGTGTCTTTTAGCTTGTGAAGCCACCACCCCAGTGTCTGCCATCACGGTCACCTGCTTCCCTGCTTGTGTGTGTCAGAGTCCACACTCCCCTTCTTGTGAGCGATGGGGCCCATTGGCCCAGCACAGCCTCATTGTAGCTAACTACATCCACAGTGACCTTATTTTCACATGAAGTCACTGACTGGGCCCCTGGGAGTTAGGGTTTCATGTAGGAGTGTGCCGGGGGGGGTCACAACCCCCCCCATAGTATCTCAGGGGCAAACACCCAGTCATGGAGATAAGTCACATTGTAATGTAATACTTAATAACATCGAAATCCATGCAAAAACCCATGGCGGACAAAATAGAAGTTCACAAAATAGAAGGTCACGTAAACACGGCATCAGTGTTGTTCACTTCTCTTTCAGCCCCTGCACAGTCAGATACCCTCTGGGTCCTCTCTCCCATCTTGTCTCTATTTACAAAGGTGGTGCTTTGTTAACATGCACGGTGGTTTGCATTACTTTTAATTTTGTAAAATATGACATCGAATATTATTTCTCTGGATAACTGGGATGGTCGGTGCCCAAGGCAAGTGCCCTCCCTGCCCAGGCCCCCTCGGCACCTAGGGAGCTCAGCCCGAGGAAGACAAAAACATCAGCCTAGCCAGTGGGTGTGAACCTGTTCACCCCACCCCACCCCGCTCAGCTGCACGGGTCACAGCGGGGCGGAAGCCCAGGTCTCCAGCGCTCCCTGTGGGGGTGCTCGTGCTGGCCGCTGTCTGGGGTCCTGCATCAGGGCTACCTGCCAGGGTGGCCCGCCCCTGAACCTGCCCCCGGCCCTGGGCAGAGAGGAGCCTGGAGCCTCGCCCCCTCTCTGCCCTGCAGCTGGTAACACGAGCTCTCTTTCTGCACTGAGATGACCCTCGGTCCAAATGCTAGTATCCCAGTGACCTCAGGTCACTGATTTCCCCAGCACCACCTGAGCTCCCGCCCTGGAGGAAGTCGACCCTGTTCCTTTTGTTTAATGGGGCTACTGCTAATAAAACGTGTACAATGGTTACAAGCGTGATTGTATCTCCAGTGCTTAGCAGGCACTTCCTCATGCATTAGTAATGCAGGATCCAATAAAGCCTCATCTGCTCTCCGCTAACAACTGTTTAACTTTTCTTTACGCCGTGCAGCCAAGCTTTCTGCGGTACGACAAAGCTTTGTGCGAGGGCCAGGAGGCGCTCCCACTGACACCGGCTTTAATTATGGATGTCCTGTGTGGGACACCCTTCGTCTATGTGTGTTTCTTCCCGCCAGGAGCACCCAGTCAAGTCAATGATCAAAGACAGGTGGCGAGAAATGTGCCTTCGTCACCCAGGCTGACTTGGCCTCATCTTACCCGACTAAGTTTGTGTATCGTTTGTGTGTCTGTTGTTGGACACTCGAGGGCCCCTCACGGGTGTTCCCAAAGGCCCGGTGCTCACCACCTCAGCAGATTACTCTCTCCTTGGCCACGAGTTAACAGTTACGCTGCTGTAGTCCACACGGTAAGATGGGCTTCTGCGGAGCCGGGGCCTCGGACACGCGGGATGAGCCACAGGGAATCGGGTCCGCTCAGATTCTGCACATTGTCCGAACGGTTTCCAGCCACTAGAAGAGCCAGACAAGCTCGGAGAGGCCTCCCCAGGGCTTCCGACAAGGAGCCCCGGGCACTCTGAGGTCTGCTCTGCTTTCATCGTGTGCGTGTTCCACTGGTGCACTCCACTGATTTGGCATAGAGGACGCCGCATGTACCCAGTGACAGATCGCATCTAAACTCCGCCCTCTGTGGGAAGGCGCGGGTGGAGAGCTGGGCAATATCCTCAAGAGACGCCTGGCCCAGATGCGGCCTTATTATAAAGATCGTAATTTTAGCCTGCTCCTTGGGAGTGGCCGGTATTTGATTGGATTGTGCACTCAGGTCTTGATTTGGAATATCCTGGCCGAAGTGGTGACCACTTCTCCATTTCCTCTCTCTCCTAGTGATGGAGAATTGGCCCCTCCTCACCCCCGCTGGTTCCAAAGGGGCCCTGACTCTACAGGTCACGGCTGGACTTGGGGGTTCCGCTCCTTACGGCCACTGAAGCGGCTCCTGGGAAGAAAGCAGTGTGTGTGTATTCATTGGAATAAACACATCATTTTCTCCCTAACTTGCACCAGACTCACATCCTGTCAGGGGGGGCCTTACGAGGTGGTGCCTGTAGATACCCTGAGGGTCAGTCCTATTTGAACCTTCCTGCACCAACACACACTCACAAGCATTGACACACGTGCACACTGACACACTCACATGCGCACTCGCAGACACAGGCACTACCTAAAGCCTCTGGCTCCGCGTGCTTCTTGCTACCATTCACTTCCAGGCCGCGTCCCTGCGACCCGGCAGGAGGCTGCATCTAGTCCACGGCTGCTTAGACAAACACACAACTCCACATTTATAAAAGCATCTGAAGTCTTCCGATGAAGAGATTTCGACTAGTTCAAGAGGCAAAAAGATTCCCACGTGTCTTCTTTGATGTGTATTTTTCTAAGCGCAGAAGGATTTCTGGGAGTCTGCGTGAGTCCCTTTTGTTTCTAGAATGTTTGGTTGATGTGTTTCAAAGTAGCAGGGAGAGCAATACTGGCAAGCTTTTGCTTTCTAATCGTGGCTCCGTGAGCTGCGATCCCGCACCTTAATTCCACGCGCTCGTGTTGAAAACGCATCCCTCTGTGAAGGCGTACTAGCTACACTGTAAACGTCTTGGAAAACTTTGCCAACATCACTCAAAATAGGCAGCTGGATTTTTTTTTTATCATTTCCAGGTGCATTTGAGGGAGAGGAGAGTTCTAATGGACCTAAACTGTGTGTGCGATCCAAACTCTGAAAGTTATACCCACACATTTCAAAGAGATATTGCTTTGGAGACTGCGGGCAGATGAAGCGTCCCCCATGCCCATCTGCCGCATTTACAGTGAGGGCTTACGCGCTGTTTTCTCCTGAATAGTCTCATCTCAGGGACTGTTTTCTGATTCCAGGTTCTGGGAAGAGACAGTTTGGCCGCCAGCCAGGGCTGCTTGCGTCTGGGGGCGCGTGTGCTAAGTGTGCTGAGGCCTCAGGATCCGATTCAAGGACCTGAGATGGGGTGTCGCCTGGCCTTGGGGACCCAGAGGTTCCCCCCCCCCCGCCCCATGCAGACTTGCCCAGGGTGGTAATTATGTTCCCACTTGGGCAAAGGTGTTAATGCGGAGAGTCCCTCCCTTGCAAAGGACAGTATTTCCTAACGGAAAACTTCACAAAGTTGAATTTCGGCAAGAAAGTCAGTTTTCATGAAAATGGTCACTAATTCCGGTTCAGTGAAGCAAAAATGTGACTCGGGTTTTATTTTTATTTTTTAAATTTTTGATTAGAATAATCTTAGTACTTCATCATTTGGGCTCCTAGGGCTGTGAACTTTGGGACACAGGTGCACTAACTCACAACTAAGCGGGGAGACCCGGTTTGGTTTGGTTTTGTTTTTCTCAATCAAAACGAAATCCCGGTCTCTTTATTATGGAAAACCATCAACTGGGTATTGGGAGTAGGTAGGAGACTACATGACACCTCAATTCTGCCCAAGGGCTTTCTCCTCTGAGCCCCACCAGACAAAGGAACATCTCAAACCCGGTCCCTCCTGTCCACCACCCATGCGGGGTCCTCATGCAGGGCGGCCCCGTGGGACTCTCCACAGCCCCCCGTTCCCCCCCTATTTGCCTCTTCCCTACAGAACCATCCTGCACAGCCCTGACGCATCACCTCCTCCCAAAGTGCTTCCAAAGGCCCTTGATGGCTTGAAATCACATTTCCTCTGGCTCTCAAAGCCTCTCTCGCTGGCCCTGAGTACACTCACCGCTACTTCCTAGCACCACACCCCTCTTCCGTGGGGTGTCCTGTGTCTAACTTCCTTCCCATCTTGTCTGCACACCCCCACCTGGGCCGCGCTGCATTTCCTTCTGAGTGCCCAGACCCAGCGGCACCTGCATTGTACAGATTGTACCTTCCAGAGTCTTCCTGAGGCCGCAGATGCCTGCATGCGTGACGCTCCCCACTCCGTCCCGATATGCATCCCCCTTGCTGCCACCCAAGGGGCCAGGACTTTGCTTTATGCCCATTGGTGCCTCACTGCACCCTGTAAAGGTCCGGACACACACTAACTGTTCCAGAAAATCTTCAGAGGGGGCAGAGCACTCTTCTGGCCCAGCTGTCTGGGTCCGGCTGCCTGGCCCCTCCCTATGTGGTCTGCTCGCAGGTGGAGCATCTCCACAATGAGAAGCAGGCGACGGCACCGTCAGGGGGAAGAGGAGCACTTCCTGCGGGACGATAGCTCCCGCTGCAGGGTGACGCCTGGCGTTTCACCAACAGCCCTGCAAATCCGAAGGCCTAGATTCCGCTGGAGCGCGGCGAGGTTCGCTGTCGAGCTTTCCGTCAGTACTGGGTTACACAGGCTCCAGACACCTGCCTCGGGATGGTGTGGGGGCCGCCAGGGGGTCGGGCCGGGTTCTGTGTTTCCAGGCAGCATGGGCAGGGTGGGGCTGCCGGGGATGTGGGGTCGGAGAGCGTCCACCTCCTCTCCAGACCAAGCTTGTTCTTCTGCTGGTCCATCTCAGAGAGGACTGCCAGGAGCCACTGCAACATTTGCCTCTTCTTGAAATAGGCCACCACTCTGTTTACCACGAAAACACAAAAGCCAGAAGCAAGCTTTCACCACTGCTTGAGCCTCCCTTGCACACCTTTCTGGATCTTTAAGGATTCTTCCAAAAAAGCCAAGGACTCTATGGTGGAATCCACACTCCATGTCTGGTTCTCGTGGAAGACTAGACTGGACACGACACGCTGCCAGGCGTGGTCCGCAGGTCACAGCAGTGGTCATCCCGTGGCCCACGGGGCACTGACTCCTCTTTGTGCATATTTTTTCATGTTTTTTTTAAGACACAGAATGCAAACACAACGATATTATGGTCAAGTTTTAATTTATCCTACAAAACAATGTTTTTAAACCTTTTTTAAATGTTCATTTATTTTTGAGAGAGAGAGAAAGACACACACACAGAGTGGGAGCAGGAGAGGGGCAGGGGGGAGGGAGACACAGAATCCCAAGCAGACTCCAGGCTCTGGGATATCAGCTCAGAGCCCAACACGGGGCTCGAACTCCGGAACCACGAGATCATGAGCAGAGTTTGGAGGCTTAACCAACTGAGCCACCCAGGCGCCAAGTGCAAAATAATGTTTTAATCAATAGTGTAAGCACACACCTCGTTTTTCTGTGCTGAGCTGGGAGAATGATACCCAATCTTTCCACACGTCTGGAGAGGAGGCCAGGGTGCTGTCCGAGCGTCAGGAAGTCTTTCCTGGGAGCCCGTGGCCACCTGCCCAGCAGACCAGCTCCCTCCTGCTTTCAGCTGTGCAGTCAGGAACTCGGGGGCACTCGGTCAGAGAGCTCCAAGCAAGGGCAGGGCAGGGGCTGGGAGCCTCCACTCCTGGGACAGGTAGCTTCACCTTGAACTCTCTCATTCATCTTGCAAATGCCGATGAGCTCACCGAGAAACTAATGCAAACCCGCTAGAGTACTTCTAGATGTAAAGGGAATCTCTTTAGTGAGTCTATGTTGGATTGGATCCCATGAAAATGAAATACTCTGTTTACAACATGATCTCGTTAGTGGGTAGATGGAAGTATGTGGTGGTCGCTGGTGTAGGTCCCTAAAGAGAGTATTCAAAAGTGGTTTGAGTATATTTTGTGGCTTAGAAAATTGAGTTAATCAAATGATGATACATTTATTAGAAGCGGGTATCAGTTTCTACAAACACTGGGCAAGGATTGAGTTCGGGGCTTGTGCCTCACGTGTGGTCGTGGGAGCCCAGCCCCGGACTCACCATCCTTACCATCGCCTGCAATTTATTTCCCATTGAGGACCATTCATCTCCTAACATCTTTATTGCCACTTCTTCACCATGTTCCTATGGCTCTCATATAGAAAGTCAGATTTAACCGTAGTAACTCAGCGTCACCGCCTGGTTGGTGGTTTATGCCTCCAATTCACATCTTGGCAGCGACTAGAGAATTTACTGTTTCTTCGTGTATCCGGGACTCTCGGGGGAGGCCACTTACGAAAGTCTACAGGGAATTAAATTCATAAAACTTGTTAAGGAGTAAGATTTCCTTTGTTTTATCAGAACACAAAATACAGACTATCTAATTCTGGGATTACCTTGTGACTCAGTGTCTCCAAACCCATGACCGAGGCCGTAGGGCCTGAGTTTTGTGTAGGGCGGGGTGCACAGCTGCAGGGCTGTGTACTTTAAGGGAAGCTGTGACCACGTGGAAAATACATCTCAGGAACCAGGAGACTTATTACTGCAAAGATATCATTCTCCCCAATGACTATGTAATTTTTAAAAAATTTTTAATGTTTATGTATTTTGGGGACAGAGAGAGACAGAGTGTGAACAGGGGAGAGGCAGAGAGAGGGGAAGATGCAGAATCCGGAGCAGGCCCCAGGCTCCGAGCTGTCAGCACAGAGCCGATGCGGGGCTCAAACTCACGAACCTCAAGATCATGACCTGAGCTGAAGTCGGATGTTTAACCGACTGAGCTCCCCAGGCACCCCGACTATGTGATTTTAATGCAATTGCAATTCAGATTTCTACAGTGTCTCTTTGTGGGAGACTAAAGGCCACAAATATCCAATAAGGGTGTGGAGACATCACGCAAAAACCGGAGGTGGAGGGGCACAATATAAAGATTTAAAAGATGGTTATCCAAGGAGAGAGGGCAAGATGGCGGAGAAGTAAGGAGCTCCGTACTTGCACTCGCGCCCATACATCACACAGAAAAGATCTGAAGCCATTGGAAACCTTACAAAACCTGAGAGATTGGGAGAAAAAAGACGCAGAATCCACTGAGAGAGCCTTCTAACCGGGCTCAGGCTCAGAACACCCTGCGGGCAAGCCCCCGCCCCTGCGCACCAGCTTGACGCAGAGAAGGAAGCAGCGATTCTGACTCCGCCCCCAGAGCTCGGCAGGGGGCCTGGAATTGCCCGAGGAGGGTGCCTGGGAAGCTGTGTCTAAGGCAATTTCAGCGGGGCGCGCGGACGGGGATTTGGAGATTGGAACTGGCCTGGGTTGAAGAGTGCAACCAACTTCGGCTGTGCCCCCGGTACGGGGAGTTTACACACCCAAAAAAGCGAGGAGCAGTGTTGCTTCAAGAAGGGACTGGAGCACCGTCACTCTCCTCCCCACAACCTCCGAGGCAGAGCTCCCGCCTGAGGCACTGGATCCCGCCACGCCCATCCCTGCCTGAGAGCTGCCCTCCTCCCTTTTTTTTTTTCCTTTTTTTTCTTTCTTCTTTTTTTTTCTTTTTTTTGTTTTTGTTTTTTTTCCT